CTCAAAATGGATTGCAGAAATATTGTAAATTTGCTATTGTATTCTTTGCTTTCGTAAGAAAATTCAAAATATTGAAAAGTGTAATGGTAGCAATGTAACGCTAAGGATCAACGGGTCGTAGGCATCTTTTTCTGAAAGATGTTGGACTTTTTCTAGATATGTAGATCTTGAATGGGTGATCAGGAATACCAAATATTTATAACTACATGTATAATACTCCATCTGTATTACGAACTAACATTCACAGATGAAAGAGTCTTCAATTTTATTCACATTTCGGTGTCAGATTTGTAGACTTCCGAATATCCAAAGTCAAAATAGGTCGACAGTTTAAATGTTATTTGGCTGAGATATTTCATCTTCCATCAAGTGAACTTCATGCTTATCTTTCTATATTTCTATGATAAAAAAAACTTCTATGATCGATGTTTTTAATTGTGCTATCGCAAGTTCTTTAGAATCCCAGAAAAATATTGTAAACTCCTCTTGATACGTAGAGTTTTGTAAAACGGACATAAAAATGTATCTATCCAGAGAAATAGATATTTGAGCTGAATAGACAGAACAACACTTAATTTCGAAGTGAATGCTAGAGCCAATGTTAAGAGCGTTGCAACCTCAGCGTTTTCAAATCTGATTTCCACCCTAAAAAGTTTTTTCCCCATAAAAAAAAGCCCTTTAAAAAGGGTCCTTTGGTTGGTGGATATTTGGTTCAAAAGGCCCCCCGATGTTATTTCGGGGGGGAGGGGGGGGGGGGGGACCCCTGGGGGGATATTTTTAAAAAGGGGGGGGGCCCCCCCCGGGGGGGCCCGTCGATTTTTAAAATTTTTCTTTTTTCGCGGAAATTTTTTTTTTTTTTAAAAAAAAAAAAAAAAAAAAAAAAAAAAAAAAAAAACCCCCCCATTTATTTTATCTCGAATTAGGGTCAGGAGCTAGGCCTCCGTCGTCGTCCGACATAGTTTGAGGGCGTTAATAGGGTATCGAGCAATGAGACTAAACACTAAACGTTCACAGTTTTATTCGAACACTAAATAAATCACTATGCTGGGTTATAGTGTGGACGATTCCCGGGTATTAGGTCGCAGACGTCCGTCTAACTGTGCGATCCAATAACGAATGCCCTCGACCGACGCCCGGGCTCCGTCCTAGCGTACGGCGTGAAGTTGGCTGCCATGACGTTAGCTTCAAACCGGTCAACCCCACCCGCACGCTGCGCTACAACTCAGCTCCCGTATTCATGACCGCGCGTTGTCGGATACAACTCGGCTCCCGTATTCATGACCGCGCGTTGTCTCCGACACGGCCATCCTGCGCGTCACACGTCCTCGTGTGTTTATTCTAAAACAAAAGAAAAACAGCGCAGTACATCGTTCGGTCATTCTCCCTGACTCTTACTTTCCCTTGAAAATAAAATTCCGTTTCAGTCGTATTATTTTCTTTTATTTTAAAATTCTACATTCAAACAATCATTACAGTTTCCTATTATGTGCTTCAGAATTTAATTATTTACACTGGAAGCAAGCTAACTTTACAAAGATCTAAGATCAAATCAACAGCAATAATCATCAAGGTTCACTTCAACTTAATTTAACAGAGGAATTGAAGCGCTACAACCAAGTACCATCTCAGCTTTTCATTGCCCAAAACAAAACAACAATTCTAGCGAAATCATCAAATAGGTCTCATTCGTGGCCTAGGCTATCAAATAACCACCCAAACTGCGCGCATCTTGTAACACAAGATCGCCAAGTCAACCTCTTGACTATACGGTCCTTATGACCCGACCTCCGCCAGAGCTCCCCGCGCACCGCGTATCCACGGACTGCCAAGGCAGATACCGACTTCTATCGGACTACGGCTACGATGAAGACTCTGGTACGGTCTGACCAGCCGAACTGAGACCCTCGCACTCTACTTCACTCTCTACATTTTCTACATCAGATGGTACTTGACTGTCCGGCATCTTCCTCAGTCTATCGTGAGCATACTTATAGCTACGTTTAGAAGTTAAAGACTTTAGAGTATACCTATCTCTATCTAGAACCTCAGTTACAACAAACGGACCTTTAAACTTGGCATCTAACTTAGTCTGGTTACGTTCTTCGTTCTCTATCAATACGTACTCTCCAACCGAAAATCTCTTAAATTTGGCTTTTGTAGCATCGAAACGCGACTTATCATACTGGGCAGATTTCTCTATCTCTTGTGCTGCGTGATTTCTAACCTCCGAAATATCTACCACGGGAGCGTCATCGGTTGCCATCAATTCTAAGGGGCGCGCTACCTTCCCTATCAACAACTCGAGTGGACTCGCTTGAGTGACCCTATTAACCGTACAATTTAAGGCAAGTTGAACGTCCTCTAGCGAATCTTGCCATGACCGGTCATCGCTGAGCTCTATGGCAGTTAACATTGATTTCAGTGTGCTCATGACGCGCTCTACCTGCCCGTTAGCTCGCGAAGATCCAGTTGCTATTAAATGAAGAGAAATCTTTTTACTATCGCAGAACTCTCTAAACTCACGACTAGCAAAACAACGTCCCTGATCTGCAATGATGCGTTCTGGAGCACCAAAAAGTGAAACGCTGTTTTTCACCGCTTTAATACTACTTTTAGAGTCAATATTAGTCGTGTGGTGAAGAACAACAAATTTTGTGAAAGCGTCGATAATTACGAAAACATACTCCTTGTTATCACTTTTGCCACTAAGTTTTCCCGTCGCGTCTATGTGCACTGTGTGCCATGGGATAGTGACTTTGGGTATGGGGTGAAGCTCAGCTGGAACTCGACCTGACCTTTTTTTTGATACTTTACAAGTGACGCAATTATTCAAAACCTTTCGAACATACCGTGACATTCCTTCAAACCAATAGTAGTCATAAAGTTTTTCTAGCGTTTTTTCCCAACCTAAATGGATGATGGAGTCATGCACATTGGTAACAACGGAAAACCTCAGAGCTCTAGGTACGATAGGTAAGCACTTAGTGCGCCCATTGCGCTGAATTTTGCGATAAAGCACGCCTTTGCGTACCTCGTATGTCTTCGCAATGTCATTCTCCAACTCTCCCTCAGTAAACGCTGTTTTAAGTTTCTGAATTTCCACATCTCGCTGCTGCTCTGCCAGAAGCCAGTTTTCGGAAAGCTCGGCTAGATTAACGTGCCTTTCATTTACCTTAGTAGTCTGTTTCTGGACTGGCTCACAAACAACAGGCAAGGGATTGCGGGAGAGAAAATCGACGTGACTCATCTGCTTTCCTGCTCTATAAACAACATCGAAGTCGAAAGACTGAAGAAAACACCACCATCGATGTACGCGAGGGGTGAGGTCGACTTTGTCTCGCGAAGACTTGAGAGAGTTACAGTCGGTAACCACAGTAAACTTCCCCCCATGCAAATAAGATCTGAAATGTTTTATCCCGTTAACCACAGCCAGAGTTTCCAGTTCGTAGGAATGGTAGTTGGACTCTGCAGGGGAGGTTCGCTTACTGTAGTAACCCACTACACGTCGCTTACCATCGACCTCCTGCAACAACATTGCGCCATAACCGTCTGCACTCGCGTCCGTATGTAATTCAGCTGGATGCTTTGGATTAAATATCGTCAACACCGGCTCATTTGTAAGAATAGAAATGACCTGCTGACGAATCTGCTCGTGATTTTCTTTCCAAACGAAAGAACCTTTGCCCGAAGTAAGCCTATGTAAGGGTGTCATCAAACGTGAAAAATTCGGAACGAATTGACGAAAATACGATGCCAGGCCTATGAATTGCCTTAGCTGTGTGATAGACTCGGGCGGTGGTAACCCTGACAGAGCCTCAATCTTCCGTTTATTCGGCTTGATCTCGCCTGCTTCAACCTCGTAACCCAAGAATTCCACACGTGTCTTTAAAAACGAACATTTCTTTAAATTGAGTGAAAACCCGGCCTTCGTCAGAATTTCCAACACTGTACTCAACCTATCTAATCCTTCATCTTCAGTATCTGACAAAATTAAAATGTCATCAACGTAGACTATGACGTAAGAGTACACTAGCTCACCTAAAGCCTCAACTATTGCTCGCTGAAATACAGAGATAGCATTTCGCAGCCCAAAGGGCATCGTTAGGTACTCATACTGTCCGAACGGTGTAATAAAAGCGGTACGCTCGACAGAATCATCACTAACGGAAATAAGGTGGAACCCGCTCGCGCAATCGAGCTTCGTAAAGTATTTTGCACCGTATAAACGAGGTATCTGTTCGGAAATTAGCGGAAGGGGATATCTGTCAGGAACTGTGTTTTTATTTAATTCGCGATAGTCGACGCACATACGTTTGCTACCGTCCTTTTTCTCAACCAACAATGCGGGGCTAGCGAACGGAGATTTGCTCTTTCTAATTATGCCTGCATCTAATAATTCATTTACTCGCTCACGCATTATCTCGCTCTCTGCTGGTGAACACCTGTACGGGCGGCGCTGCACGGTACGGGTAGGGTCAGCCAAGCGAATCTCACACTTACCCGTTGTAACGCGGGTAGTTGGAAATTTGCACGTAAAATAATGGGAATACTTTTCTAACAACTGAACAAGTGTTTTTATACCTTCAAGTGAAATGTCCGTATTTATGTCTGCTAGATCAATTGTTTGTCTGTTTAATTTTACGTTAACGCACGAATTAACCGTACATGACTTAGAAATAGTAAACTGATTAGCACCTAAACTGACAGTAAAACCTTTATTTAGGATTTCGCGACCTATCATCACATCACTGCGTAGGTACTCGTCTGGCAAAACATGGAATAAGATTTCGGTTGGATAGTCACTAATCTCAATTAAACAAAAAATTTGTTCCACACTGTTCACCTTTTTGTTGCCTATACCAACAAGCGATACAGTATTGTGTACGCGTTTTCCTCTCAATTTACACGCAACACTCTCTTTAACTAAAGAACACTCTGCTCCAGAATCAAAATGAAATTCAAAACGCTTACCAAGGTGGGTTAGGGAACCGGCCGGGGGCTCAACCTCGCAAAGGTTGACACGTCGTTCGGGCGCCTGCTGCGCGCCGCTGCCGGCGATCGTGGTCGCGGTGCCAGAAGTACAGCGACTCGCGATGTGACCCGGTGTGCCGCACTTGAAGCAGACCGGGGGTCCGCTCGTGGACGGCGGGGCCCGCACGTGCAAATGTGGCGGCAGGGGTACTAGCTGTCGTCCTCGTATCCTTGTTTTTCTGCCTGCATTCTGATTGTTTGTGTCCTAGTCGTCCACAAGTGTAACATTTGATTGGTGCAGTAGATAGTCTAGTGCGTTTGGCATTCTCCATGCTGTTCTTCTCATCAGTGATTGGCGCTTTCCGCTTTAGATAGACAAAGGCTTGTAGCTCTTTTTGTAGCTCAGAACGAGAAGTTATTTCCGTGGTAAAAGCAAGTCGCTGAAGACGTACGTCAAATTGAGCTAAATGTGCGAGTACGATTTGTACAATAATTTGCTCCGAATCCACATTCTTGAAGCGATTCATTAGAGACGACATAATGCGGCTGGCGTAAGTCCCATAGTTCTCCTTTTCACTTGGCTTATCTGAGCCAAGATTAATTAGTGTGGCAGCCAAGGTCTCATTTGGAGCGAACCTCGCCGTAAACAGTTCTTTAAATTCCGGCCATGTTATACCTTGGTAGGTTATTTGCGATAGCCAAGTAGACGCCGTACCTTTAAGAGCCTTGCTGATAGCGACGACGAGCTGGCTTCCTTCTAACGGCGTATCTGTCATGCAGACGTCGGCGGTGGCGCACCATGACAGCGCATTTACCTCGCGTTTGTCTGGATCAAATTCTGGGAAAACCACGTGGTTTTTGGCGGGTAGCGGGCGGTTTAAAGCAGCGATAAGGGCGCGAATTTGCTCGTTCTGCGCGTCGAGTATTTGGCGCCACTGTGCACTGTCGATGCTGCTTCTGCGTGGAATCTCATTTGCTCGATCGTATCCCACATCTGATCTCGAATTAGGGTCAGGAGCTAGGCCTCCGTCGTCGTCCGACATAGTTTGAGGGCGTTAATAGGGTATCGAGCAATGAGACTAAACACTAAACGTTCACAGTTTTATTCGAACACTAAATAAATCACTATGCTGGGTTATAGTGTGGACGATTCCCGGGTATTAGGTCGCAGACGTCCGTCTAACTGTGCGATCCAATAACGAATGCCCTCGACCGACGCCCGGGCTCCGTCCTAGCGTACGGCGTGAAGTTGGCTGCCATGACGTTAGCTTCAAACCGGTCAACCCCACCCGCACGCTGCGCTACAACTCAGCTCCCGTATTCATGACCGCGCGTTGTCGGATACAACTCGGCTCCCGTATTCATGACCGCGCGTTGTCTCCGACATATATTTTATTCGTCATATGATAAGCGGGTACTATATTATATTGAAGTTAGCTTTAATTTCAGGCCAGGGGACTCAATGTAAAAAAAAAAATAGTTGTTTAGCTATTTTATTTTTTATGTTAGTATGTTTAAATATATACACCACTCTAACATACAATAAAACTATCATACGGAAGAGCAACGGTTATATTTATATAGTTTTAAGTATAAGCGTTACTCTTCCATATCTGTTTATATATTTGCAAGTACATTAATAACGAAAACTCCAATTGTAACTTAATTATATTTCGGCTATTTGGTAGTTAGGAATATTGTATGTGGCCATACTTTACGTAGTGAACAGCAGTCGCGTTTAGATTCCGCCGCGATCCACCGCATCCATTCACTCCCAACACGCGTACACACGCTTCTATTAGCACGTAAATATTTTACGACTGTTTAAAAGTTCAACATCAACGTACCTCATGCATTACTAAAATACATCATTATAGTATATAATCACGAGAGCTTTGGAATTAATTGGCGCGCTCGGAGTTTAAATACTAAAGTTTGGTATACGAATCGTCGTAATTAGGCGTAGCGTAGAATAATTATCATCTGTGGTTTTGGGTTTAATTAAAACTGAAATATTTGAATAGGTCGCGTTCTTTGTTGAATTTTTCATTATCAGAGGAAATTAAATTAGTCCTATTGACCGTGGAGCGATCAAAGCTTCCTAATTAAATATCTGAAAGCGACCTCATAAGCTTCTTAGACGATCTAACGATTCCAGTAATCCAATTAAACCAATATATCGCTTCAATAGAAATCACTTGAACTTTATCCTGATCAACTTTGACTTTCACACGCGTGTAGGCGGCCGCCCTGTGTAATATGAAATATTGCTACGCCGTTTGAAATGAAATAATTTTAACAAATTCAAACCGTTACAGTGACCCTTTGTGACCTTCAGAAATTAACAAAGAAATGCTGTAATTTTCCATTTTATTATTGGTCAGCTAATTATATTGGTTAGGTAGTTTTTTGAAAATGGAACGTGAGTTAAATATCAGAATTTAACAAGCGTACTATTAACGTTTGCGCGAAGGTCATAGTTTGCGTCGCGTCGTCCGAGTATTGGCATCGCTTGCGCATCATTAGGCTGCGATCAAATATAAACATCGCAAGTCGCGTAGAGCGTCATGCGTATATAACACTATGAACAATCAATAAAACGGTATCAATATTATCGTCAAGTATTTTAAATATTGACAATTTTGATCTAATATAATCTTACTTTTCTATTGGGTAACGCTATATACGATGTTCTGTTTTTTTAGGAGACCACAGCCTTAGTCGCCGGAGACGTAAGCTCATGTGACGTGCAGACATAGAGACCGCCACTCAGTCACAGGACTCGGCGTTGAGGATATGAGCGTGTTATGGATTATCAATGCGTTGTCGTCTACACGGTTATCAACATCGCGCCGCCCAAACTCGCCGCCCAAGCAACGCACTTGGGCAGCGGATGTGTGGACTGGATTAAGAACAAAATCAAAAGGTATTTATATTTTTATGACATCGGTTATGTATATTTTAATGAGATTTTAGTGATCGTTTTGATATATAACTGTATTGCATTCGTCTTGCGCATTATCATCTTTATTGATAAAATTTTACTTTATCACTTATTATTATTATCAAACTAAATCTGTCCTTATAATTTTGCTTATGAAAATTTTTGGACAAAAGTTAATTTCTCTCGATATAAAAATAATTATAAGTGATTATTACAAAACATCAAAAGACGAAATAGGTCAATAGCGGATCTAGATAAGATGTAATATGTCTAGCTTATATTATCTTCCACATAGAACTGAACGTGCTTATATACAGTGAGACTAAGAAATATTGTGAAATGATTATTCATTAACTCATTTCGCCATTAAACTATTTAAAATAGACCACTTAAACTCATCTGGACTTTGAACCATTTTAAATGGACTACTTAACGTCGACTATAAGTACCTCCACTATTCATTTATTCATGTCAATCAATCATGGTGGTGGGATTGGTATCGATTGTCAATTAATTAATAGAAACTTTTCGCTTGCGTCCATCAAAATTGTACTCGATTGTTGCGTTATTAATGTATAACGTTCAATGTATACCATGACAGAATCGTGGTAATAACACAGACTATTAACAATATCAAACTATGATTATCACCGTCTTGTTTTGACAGATAGAAGTCAAATCAACTACTTGCTTATAAATAATGCGTTTTTAATAGAATATCACCATGGCAACAGCCAAAATTACTTTCGTCTCATGGTCTAGAGCTAAAAATGGGATTTCGTTGAGCTTATTGATAATTTCATTGCTACTGCACGACTGCATTTTAGAGTGATACGAATAGTCCAACACTAAAAAAATATGTTATTTACATATCTAGTGACTTTACATATTTACTAAAAAATATATACGGATAAAGATTTAATTAAAACAGTAAGCTGTGTGACATAACATTTAATATAGATAATTAAAAATTCTTCTCTAGAGATTTAAAAATATTTTTAAAACTCGAGTCTTAAAACGAGTTCAAATATTTACTAAGTGCCGTCTTTAAAAATACTTCACAGAGTGAATGAGCTAAATTCTTTGAGCTATTTAATTTTCCTCTAGCAGGTGAAGTTTGGTCTTGACCTAAGAAACAAAAGATGAAATCGCTTCATGACGCAACGGCGTTAATTGACGCCAAAAGTCTTTAATTTCAGTAAAATAAGAGTTAAATTTCAAATCCATTAACTTTCTTAATACTTACTTATTACTTAAATGTTTACTTATAATACTTAGCTAGTTAAGATCGAATGTTTGACCGACTTGTTACAATCGTACCAAAGCATTAAGTTAACAGATCGTGAGTTCAATTTTATTTTCTAATATTGTTTAATATTTCGAAACTGTTGATATAAAGGTATCGGAATTCCGGGTCACGAACTGCCGTCCGCAAATAGAAAAGCCGAAGGGCGTTTTAATTTTAATCTGTGAAATTTAGACTAATATCTAAAGCCAAGATAATACATTTTGTCTTTAATATTAATAGATCTAAATTAGAGGTCAAAGAATTGGGATATTTCAAATTCCAGCAAGTGAACGCTAAACTTATTCTGGAAAGATTATTCATTATCTCCACGTATTCTTCGTTAAATTATTTAAAATTTTCGCTTACCACGACAGCTGATGTTAACATCAACACATCAAATCATGAATTTTGTTTACAATTCCAGAGCGGTAGCAGTATATCTTCAATCTTTGAAGCTCACTCCAAACAATGGTATCGTACACGGAAACTTGGCATGTTTATACTACAAACAAGGTTTCATAGATCTCGCCATAGAAACGTATAGAAGGGCCATAGAGCTACATCCAAACTTCCCGGATGCCTACTGTAATTTAGCTAATGCTCTTAAAGAGAAAGGACTTGTTTCTGAAGCTGAGGAGTGCTACAGTCAAGCGCTATACTTATGTCCTTCGCACGTAGATTCACTTAATAACTTGGGAAATGTGAAAAGGGAACAAGGAAAATTAGATGAAGCGATCAGCTTATATATGAAAGCACTAGAGGTGTTTCCCAGCTTTGCAGTTAGTCATAGCAATTTAGCATCGCTATTACAACAACAAGGTATTTCGGAAACTCAACTCACTTTCATTTACACGTAATCTCTTTAGTATTATTCTGCAACGCGTTTTATTTTATGTGTAGCTTTGCGAAATTTCATTACCTATTTTAAAAGCTGTTCTGTCGAATGTATTCTTAGTAACAACTGGAGGTATTTTTTCGACGCGAGAGGTGCCTACTTTACCTCTGAGGTATCAATAATCAACTCTACTTCCAGGTAAACATCATGAAGCGCTCATGCACTATCAAGAAGCCATTACTATTCAGCCAGAATTCGCCGATGCCTATAGTAATATGGGGAATGCACTCAGAGAATTACAAGAGATGACTGGAGCCATTAAGTGTTTTAAAAAAGCTATAGAAATAAATCCTTTGTTTGCAGACGCTCATTGTAATCTAGCTAGCATCTATAAAGATACGGGAGATATCACAGAGGCTATAAAGTCTTATAAGAACGCTTTGTCAATTAGAGACGATTTTCCCGATGCTTATTGTAATTTAGCACATTGCTTACAAGTAATCTGCGATTGGGATAACTACGAAGAACGCATGCTCTCGATCGTTTCAATAGTTGAAGAACAACTTAGAGGTGATAAACTCTCATCGGTACATCCACATCATTCCATATTATATCCATTAACGAATAAGTCTAGAAGAGAAATCGCTGAGCGACACGCAAATTTGTATTTTGAAAAGGTGAAGAGATTGAAGAGCGCGAAGATTTCATCCGAAAAATGTGATCGGAGATTGAGAATAGGTTATGTCAGCAGTGACTTTGGAAATCACCCTACATCGCACTTAATGCAATCAGTGCCAGGCTTGCATGACACTACCAAGTTTGAGATTTTCTGCTACGCGCTAAATCCCGATGACGGCTCAACATTCCGTAGTAAAATAGTTAAAGAATCAGAACATTTTGTCGATATATCTATGATTAAGTGCAATAGTGAAGTAATTAGGAGAATTCGTAACGACGGTATACAAATACTAGTAAATATGAATGGTTACACCAAAGGGTCCAGGAACGAAATATTCGCTTTAAAACCAGCACCGATACAAATTATGTGGTTAGGGTATCCGGGCACAAGTGGTGCCTTATACATGGATTATATTGTTTGCGATAAAACTTCATGTCCAGTAGATAGCGAAAATGATTTTAGTGAAAAATTCGCCCATATGCCGTATACGTACTTCGTCGGAGACCACAAAAGGATGTTTCCACATTTAGAGAAACGTTATAGAATAAGGACCAATAGTTTTAACATATTGAATGAAAATATAGCAGTAATAAATAGCAAAAGTGATTTAGATGAATATTTGTGTGTGGATAAAGAGAAGTCAATTCTATTTTATGATAATTATAGTACAATTGAAGTATTAGAACGTGTTATAAACATTCCCAAATGTGTTATAGAGAATACATCTAACTCTAAGCAAACAAAGGTATTGATTTATATATATTTAACTATATAACATTATAACTTTGTATTTATCTTTATAAAATTTTAATAATTTTCCCTTACAGGTTAATATTGGCGATGTATCTTTATTAAATGGTTTATCTGTATTTAAATATGATGCCAAAGTTTCGAGTGGAGAAGAAATTTGTGATAAAATTGTAATTACTTCAAGATCTCAATATGGTTTGCCCGATGATGCAATAGTGTATTGTAATTTCAACCAATTATATAAAACAGATCCTAGCACGTTAGAAATGTGGGTTAACGTTTTGAAACAGGTGCCAAACAGTGTTCTGTGGTTAGTAAGCTTTCCTGTGGCAGGGGAACCAAATATTCATAAATTCGCACAAAATTTAGGTAAGTCAAATCTTTACTATCTTTGTATAATTTTACGTGACAGACAAGCAGTAAGTTAACTTGATGGAAGTTTAAATACCCCAGTCATATAACATCTAGACAAGATCGACCTATTTTTCGATATTCGGAATATGTTACACATCGCCATCGTTAGACCAACGATTTATATTATAACTTGAGAAATACGTATTTATTCATAAGTCTAAATATAAGACATAAAATAAGATAGTTTAACTGATCGATTTTATTTACATGTCGAGGCACAGGTGTCTGATTAACGACAAGTACTTGACCAGACACCTACCAAAAAAGATTTTCTTATTTTCTCAGGATTGAAACCCACAACTAGAGCTTAACGCATCGCCAAGCAAAATATTTAACCATTTACATTTAGAGATTCTGCCTGTGTCCTAAATATTACACTATAATTTTAATCCCAACTACAATTTAAATATCTGCTTAACATTTTCAGCGATTTCTAATTTTTAACTTTAACTCTGTATTATTTTGTTCACATGTACTTTCAGGATTAGCTCCCAGTAGAATAATTTTTTCAAGAATAGCGTCCAAAGAAGAGCACGTGCGACGTGGTCAATTGGCGGATGTATGTCTGGACACGCCATTATGCAACGGACATACGACAACTATGGATATGTTGTGGGCTGGTACCCCAGTTATCACTTTGCCTGGAGAAACATTAGCGTCTAGGTAAAACGAATTTTAAACAAGCCTACATAAAAAAAAACTATATTGTGGTGAACGCGAATAGTATACATTTAAATAAAAACTTTTTAACGGTTTAAATCGCGAAATTTATTAGTAAGCTTATTTTTTTCTATATTATTATTATTATATTATTATTGATGCTTTGTAGCAGCCGGTCACAATGAATTAAATTAATATATTTGGCGTTTTACATCGTTAAAAGTATTTTATTTAGAAATCAATTTGTCCGAATATATAAATATAGGAACGATGATTTAAACATGGAAATTGTTTAAATACCCAATTTTCAGAATTACTGTAATTCTATACTAAAGGTTTCGATTTGCACTGAATCTAATATCGAATGGTCACTTACATTTAAACACTGTACATACAACAAAGATATTGTTTATAAAAACTGAAACTAGGTGGCGCTTTTAGCAATTAGATTATGCTATCGAAATGTTATTTAATTTAAGACCATCTGAATACTAAATATCGGCTCACATTCAACTGGGCACTACGGGTAGCTTTTGAACTTGTCTGTAAATCCTAGTAATTAATTAGTAATGTTTGTTTACTCATATATTGTATTCTCGCCGTTATAATTTGATCTACTGTTAAGTTGGGTAATTCAAATTCTTTCAGTTTATCATTGAGATCTTCGATTGTCTTCTATTTATGAATTTTGTTTTTTTTTTTTATAATAATTTAATTTTAATATCCAGGGTGGCTGCTTCACAATTAATGGCTTTAGATTGTCCTGAACTCATAACACGAAGTAGACAACAATATAAACAATTAGCCATTAAAATAGGGACCGATGAACAGTAGTGAGTACATTTTAAATTTAGACGATTATTAAGAATAGTTGAAACATTATTAACGACTTTAAATATAAACTATTTGAATTGATCTTTTAACTGCGTCAGCACTTTTCGTAGGCCTGACAGCAGACGTGGTGACTTAAAAAATTGTCGATAGCGAGATTAGAACTAGACCACAACATTGTTTTTTTATTTGTATACATTTGTTTAGTCAAAGTAAAAAAAAAATATCACTAACACTTAAAACGGATATAGCCGCATATGTAAACTTAACAAGTCTGAGAATAAATTTTGAAAACAAATTAATAGCACAGGCGGGATACGAAACAATGACCCAAAATATTTTCTTGTAGCAAACTGTAGTATCAATTTTCGTATCTTAACTATTTCATATTAAGTTTGATGCGACTCATAAATATTCAAGGACTATACTCTACCGTAGTTTAATAAACTTAGTTGCGAGTTCAAAGGTTCTTCATCACCTTGAATAGAAAATTAATTACCTTCCACGTTCTAGCCGCAAGTATCTGAGAGCAAAAGTTAGCAAAGCACGCCTCGACAGTACCTTGTTCGATTGTAAACACTACACTCAAAGTTTGGAATCACTTTACACGAAGATGTGGCAGAATTACAAAGATGGAAAAGCTCCGGAGCACATAAGTGCATAGTGTAAGTACAAAAGAGAATATCATTGCGGATTTTTATAACAGAGTTACAAAGACAAACCTATACGGTTAAAATAAAACACTTTAACTGTTTAAAACGCGATATATATTCGTTTTTTTAAATGATTTTAACTATGGCTTGATGTTTCGGATGTTTTGCGGCAGCCGTGATCGCGGGGAGACTACGTAAAATAATTTTCTAATAAGTTTAGCTAATACGTCGCGTTTTACACCGTTGAAGTGTTTTATTTAAATGTGTACTACTCGCGTAAACTACAGACTACAGACAGTATTTAATAAACCTATGCGGTTTTACTTGATAGAAGGTGAAAACCCCGTGTGAAGGTGAAATAGTTGAACATATTCATCGTCCTTTTCAAATGTATTGTCACTCCGGGGTTCAAACAAGGCAAGCAATGCTAAGCTATGGAGCCAGCGCTCATACAGTAATGAAGAAGATGGTCTTCGTAAAGCATTGTATTCATTGACTCGTTACAGTATAAATGCGTACGGTAATTAAAGGTATAGCATAGTATAAAATAACCATCAACAAACTCCTATTTGAAAACTCAGGATGCAAAAGATGAAACTGAAAAGACCCTTGAAAACATTTTCCACGAGTTTTTAATCCCTACAATTGAGTTTCTCTTGAATCCTTAATACTCAACACATCACGCTGAGTGCAGTCGAGTGCTCTTAATAAGTGCCTACTTTACTGTTTTAATTAGTACCATTTAATCTTTCAGAGTTTTCCTGTCCGAGAATTGCCGTCCGGATAATTTCAGAAGATGTTGTACTCAAATTGAAGAGACGCTAGGGTCATTTTTATTTGTCACAAGACCTGTAGCAATGTGAATTGCTTTATGTTGTTTGCGGATTACCCATTTGATGCAGACATATAAAAATGTCTGAATTCTCCGTGCCCCATCTTTTATCCAGTATTACGACCATATATCACTTAAAGCCAATTTTGATCACTTTAGGAGGCCAACTAAGGGCCATTGTACATTTTGTTATTGTTTGTATTTAACATTATTTTAGGTTAAGACGTTTTAGAAATTAAAAATAAATTTCAATTTCATCAATCAATCTAAAAAAAATTACGACACGGTCTGTACTTCTGTCCGCTGCGTTGCTGTAACGAATCGAGTCACCATATAACATTCGTGCAATTTTAGGATTTTTTCAGAGATATAACTTATATTATACTTAACATAGTTCTTATGAGCCATGCTTTTTCAACTAATTTACTTAAGATAAATTTGCGCTTGTAGATTTTCTGATAGTTTTTCATAACTTAAAATTGTAAAAATATTTTGATATTAAATACAAAATTAACGTTCACAAGAATAACAAAGAATATTATTCTTTGTGTAAGATAAAAATAACTACTTGTAAGTTAGATAACGTTTGGAGTACCTCAAATAGAACTTATTTTTTAAGATTAAATATTACGGGATTCTTGATGTTTTATTTATAAAGAGTGAAGTTCAGGTCTCTTTCCCTATACATATAGGATACCATACTGTGTATGTTTCACAGATATTTATGCACAGAAAACGATCAGAAATCTATGCCGTGCCTATGTCTTTCCTCAAGACCTTAGAAAGTATAACTAATTAAAACTATAATATTTGAATTTTCTCGTTTAAAGAAAACTATATATATTATAGCTTGGTTTATTTATAGCAACGTCCTCCAACTAAAGGATTACACAGTTTTACTCCCGATAAAATCACAGGTAACTTACTACGAAGTTCTTGAAATAGACACGTATCAGTAAATGCGTTAAAACTCTTCTTAAATTGGGGAGTTGTAAATAAAATAAACATCTTCGAGCTTTATAAGATATTTAATACAAGTGTTCTACAATTAATGACTATTAGTGGAACATTGATTAAATTAAACAAAATAAAACCTTTAAAAATAATCAAGAGACGTAAGGTGAAGATGACAATGAGTTGCGCTGGTGAAAATTCGAAATATGAAAAGTGAAATTCTGAAAGTGTAAGTGTCTATTAACTTGTAAAGTCATTAAATTTATTCGATATTCAATTAAAATACATTACTGATATACAGCTATACTCCAAGTCGATAAAGATTTATTAATCATTATTTTAATGATAAATAAATATTGAGTCTAAAATAACGAGTAGTAACTTAATTATTTATACATACTTGTAGATAGACTTAAGAAAGTGCATGTTTTTTATAATTCTCATTTTGTAACGAAATTACACGATCACTTTGAATAGAAATCATTATGCGGCTCTAAATACTAAAGTTACACTTCATTAAATAACTAAAACAGTGTGTAACAGATAAATTTGAAAGGGATTAAAAATAAATCCACATTCAAAATTAGTTGTGTGCCTAATTTTCAATGTGGATAAACTCTAAAAGAACAAGATTCAAAAATAAATCTTTTGATTCATTGATAACTAATTATATATAGTTAATTGTATCGTAAATTTTTATAAAACAAAAATATTCTTAGTGTTTTCCTATCCACACTAATCTTAACTTCGGAACCATATATACACAGAATGGTGGTAAATGGTCGGAATTTTACTTCACTTTCAAACAAACATGAGTAGAAGGGCTATGACCAAGACGTGATTACTATAATATTACTAAACATTTAAGACTTGAAATCACTGTATTCGATTTGAGCTGTCTATATGGCAACAACTTTAATGACAGCTGTTCATTTCCCAACGATGTTTAGTCGTCGTCGTGTGCCTTAATCTTTGAGATCTTTAAAAGAAAATTTTCAAGCCTATCCATCTTTATACCTTACTCAGAGTAGGTAATGATTGACTAATGTAAAATCAAACATTTATTTTTAAAAATTTTATGCAATGCAAACATAATTTAAATTGAAACAAGAAATAAAAGTTTAGTGAGAATTACATACTTTAAATAAGACCCTAAGTGATCTTTAAAAAACTCTGAGAAGCTTTTAAAGATGCACGTAAAGGTTCTTCGTCGAATTCTCGAAATATTCCAGCGATATTGGATTCTAAAAATCTATAAACTTGACTAGCGCCATTTTATCATTACCCATATATTTTAGTCGTGAGCTAATCTCGTCACTAGAATCGTTCATAAAGTCGACTTAGAGTTCCAGGCCCTTAGTATAAGATTGATAGTAATCGAACACGCGTCAAGTGTATAGTCCCATTCAACTAGCGCTTCTATTGAAAACTAATTGGTAACTAACTTTTCGTTGAAACTATAACACGATAACTGCTATCGTTTACCATCAAACTTGTACGTCGGGTATTTAGTATGGTGAATATTATTTATTAATAGATCTCAACTATTCTTGTACGATATGAACATGAGAAATCTATATGAATTCTTTAACTATGGCTACGGTGTCTTTTAAACGTTGTAGATTGCGTACAACATCAGGCGTTACTCTTAGAATCATAATTACTTTATTTCGATTCTTTTTCATGATCGAGTAGGACAAGACTGTTAATCACTGGTATATACACTACAATAGGATATAATAACATCTAAACAAGATGGGCTGTAGACGCGTTGTACTTGCGGCTTTGGACAATCACATTGCATCTTAAACGTGGAGTTGTATGCGAGTGTCTGCTTAAAAAAATTGACGATCGCGTGAGACCACTCATTGGATTCTACTGTTCGACGCGGCGTAACGCGTCATGCTGTTCGCCAACGATGTTTATATTGATACCATAGCCAAAGAGAACGATACGAAAACTACTTATGTAATTAAAGCTTTCTGTATCCGTAATAAACGTTATAATTGCGCATTACAAATATTATTTTAAGAAAATAATAGATTAAACAGTATCACATTACACAATTTTATTCTAACGAATCGCAATATTATTGTTCATATACTGACCTAGCGATTGCATTGATTTTCGATACCTAAAATCTATATATTATCAACATAATTATATATTTAATTTAACACTGCATAAAATAAGAGTATTCTTAAAGGCCTAATTTTGGCTAAAATCGGGTCGTTAATAACCATGAACATATTATATATAGCGGAATAATATTTGATATAAATATATATTTAAACCATATTTATCATGCAGTTCATGATGTGGTGGTTTCGCGAGGGTATTTATTAATCTAATGTCGATTAATGCTATAGTTTTTATGGTACTTATTTATTGGAGTTAACGTTTGTCATATCTAACCGTGAGATATATCAGTCTATATTTAAATATTAATCTCTCTAGATCTGCATTTATTGTTTTGCTATATTATAATTTATTTATTGTATTTTATGTCCGTCTTCATTAACAAAACAATCTCCACAGTGCAACCCCCACGCATTGATAATACAAGATCATGATATTATATGATAACAACTAAATTGATATTTCATTTTTAGTGAACATTGCATATTTTCTTAAACTTTATGCTCAATGTAATTTGGACCTCATCATTCACCAGTTAGGGCTCGATGTTCTATTATTTCCCGTGTAAGTAAGTAATCGTTAAGCATAACATTACAACATTGTGTTAAAGATCAGTCTGACGAGTGGACGACTCTCCCCTCGGATACGGTACAACCTTCTTGCTAGAATCAGACACGCGGGCTCGCCTAATCGTGTAATAAACAAGAAACGCGTAATTCCTCATAAGAGGTTAAAGACTAATATAAAATTTTTATTATTGCTTGGCATATTTGTATATTATATATCTTCGTATTGGCGATCATGATATAATTAATGTGGGGGCTACTCGTTTCAAAGATCCAACCATACTTGACCAATATGCAAGATATTTGTATGTGAAAAATAATATATCTCTGTGCGAATGAAGTTGTGCCACTTAATACTATGTGTAAAGTTTTACGAGTCTTATTTTAAAATTACTACATATATTTTAGAATTTCGTTTCATAGAGACGCGGTAACATATCCTAGGTAGGCCTAAACTATGTCTTCTATATACTAGACAAGGTGTAAGGGCTCACACGCCCTCTGCCCTTCTTAGTGGTGCCGATGTTAAAGTGACAATATACAAGAATGACAGTAAAATGATAACGTAAGTATATATACATTTACTACAATCTTACGAAGTTAGCTACTGTTGTTCGTACACCACTACAATTAACTGATTCGCAGGTGTAATTATTAGAATTTTTAGACTAGGTAAGTTTCAACTATATACATATCGTACCAACAATAACTTCGTAAGCTTTGCGTCTTCGTACTAGTACATACAAAATTTTACATTTGATTTTCTAGTATCAGTATACGTGAAGAATTAACTCACATTTTTTTAAATACATAATAAAAAAAAGAACTATTTATAAATAAAACTTTGGTCATATTGACTAGTAAGTGCTCAACGTGTACTACAAAATATGACAGCTTTTTGACATTGTTTTGACATTCGAGACCTTGATTAAATTTAACCGACACATGGATAAAAGATTTTTCATTATAACAAACAGCTGTTGAATTTTAATCAATGTTTTCATCTGTCGGTGAAATTGGGTCTTAAAACGAAAACATTAACTGGAGACAGGGAACTTTGTATATTAAAACTAAATTTAAAACAAATGTGTTATGTAATATATATGTTAAATAAGGACCAATTCTTATTTAGCATAAATGACATCCTTAAATTGAATAATTATGTATTAGAACCTTAAAAACTTAACAATAATTTATAATAACTGTAGGTTCATGTTTCGTTTTCATTTGTTATGCTCAAATTCCAAGATCCGTGTCTTATACGGTCAACCTCATTCAATGCCTTTAATTTTTACTTGTCAAACCCCATTTTTAGGTCTACAATTATATTTCACGCTTTATCGACCAAAACTACAAAAAATATTGCTGCTTTTGTAAATATCGTACTTAAAACATTATAATATATTACAATTATTGTTAACATTTACATTTTGTATTAATACATATTGCGGAATGACATTAATGCAAGGTATATTACGTGGCGTATTCCTATTATGGACGTTGCATTAGGTCTACAAGGCATGTGGTATTTGAATTTTAACATAACTCTACATTTCGTGTGCTACGTTTTAGATTTAGATTACATAATTTCGATTTTTCTATTTATGTCGCTTTAATACAATAATCGATTTAACATCGGTTACCATTCGATTATCGTTGTCGATTGCATTCGATGGTAATTTTAGAATCAAAATGGCACCGTTGGCATATAAAAAAGTTTGTAAGCGGAAACACGTGACGACGCTTAGACATCACCATTATTCCCGATAACAATATATTTAAATATACGAATTATTATGTTATTGCGACGTATCTTTCGACTTCTATAAGGCATCTGGTATTACGAAAATTAACACATTTAAATACACATTTAGTACTACGTCAATATCGCTTTTTATCGAGGAGTTATTGATGTTTGCTTTTGGGCAGTGATTATTCATTTATTAATCTACAAAGGAACCCATGGTAAGGCATTATGACGTCAGAACTGATGACAGGAGCTCTGCGTTTCAGATAATCGAGGGTATGTTGATAGAGTGGGAAATGAAAGAGCCGAACACACAAAGTGCTTACGTGACTTTTATTCCCATTGTACCAACAGAATATCTAATGCTCAATTGCCCGTTCGATTCACGGAGTTTCCTTGGAAGTGGGCAGTCTAACAGTCGCTGCGGGCAATTCGCGTTGGAGTTCATTTCATAGACTCTTACAAGGCTGTTTAGTTACTTTCGTTTAAATGTGTGATAAACGAATGCACAGCACATAGTACAGTCGAGAGCAAATAATACCTATCAAGTTAATCTACTATGCAGTTTATCGAAGAAATCAGTATTGACCGAATGAGCTACATAGTATTTTATTTCATTAGATATATATAAATTCAAAAACTGATATCGAGTCGCGTATTTTTATTTAGCCTTATAAAATATACTCGAACGCGTTGTCAACAGGAGACTGTCCTACCCCTGCTTTGAAAACAATCCGTACGAAGTCATAAGACAAAAACAAATCTACTATAAAGCGCTGAATCTACAGTGCTACTGAACAAACTATGAACGGAGCTAAATTATAGACCTCTTTTCATACTGCGCTACAATATAAAATATAGTTCACTGCATAACAGCGTACTGACTATCATGGACACGTTATGAACTATATAGCTATGGGCTGGACTGAGTCTCGTCTCTTATAAGAAATAGGTTTTTGAACTGAATCTCAGAGACACGAGAACGAGTAATATAAAATAGCTTAGTCTGAAAAGGGTTTAATATGAAAGTCGGAAATATTCGTAGTTCGTTCATATTAACTTACCTTAGTACTTATTTTCGGAGATCTCACAGTTTTGTCGAATATCTATGTAGAAACTATTTCAATAGAAATGTTTGTCGTAGTTATAAGGGCGCTTACAGACTGAACGTTTGCGACGGACGTCGAAACCTATGAATTAATACAAAACGGTGATTTTTAACCAGTAAAAATTAAGTTTAAAAGTTGTGTTGGAAGGTTAATGGAACACAGTTTCGAACGAAACAGTATTACTACGATATTCTTTAGAAGAATGGTTCCATTGTTTCAATACCACGTCTATAAACACCCTTAGATAAACACGACGACCCTTGACTCTTTCAAGGGCCAGCTTCTACAAAGACAGATATTATTCATACGTTTCTACAATTTGCTAGCGTATATGACGTAATGCTTTACTACAATACATTGGTAAGAAAATAATAATGTCACTATATAATCGATCCGTTAAGGTGCGTTCACATCGCGTTTACTTTTTGTGGGGCAACTTTGTGTGGTTGTCAAATATGCTAATACAGCAAAGCAGATCGGATTTTGTTAGTGGTGAGAACCATTTGTTCCTTTACGCAAAAATATCCATCCAAAGACAAAAAGGTAGAATAAATTAGTGGTCTACTAAATTCTACATTCACCGGTCTTTCACTTTTTGGTCTCCTAAAAACAACTGCAGTGTGCACGCACCTTTAAAACTACTCACTCATTAAATATTATCAGTCCGATACACAAACGTTTATATGAAATTATTGTACTTAATCGTTTCACAGTCTCTTATTGTATTCTGTTGTTACCTTTATATTTCTCATTGTCAGATTTCATATTAGGAAGCGAAGGTAAGTCTAAGCTTAGTTTTAAGCCAGCCATAGTCATTTTCCCCAAGCCAAAATTCCCTTTCCCGGAATTGATTTTTGTTTCGGGGCCAAAGTTATCATTATGGTCTCTTAGTAAAATGATGTTTGCCAATCATTAAGTTGAGTGGTTAGTTAGGGCGTCAACCTACTCTTTGATATTTGGGATTGAGGAAAATGACAATTATAGAAAGTATAATCATGCTAAGAAACGTAACGTGCAAATATCATGAACGATAAAAAATACCATAGTAAAATTCTTAAACAAATCAGTTTCAATGAACATGCATTTAGCTAACTTAATATACTACGAATGTACAATATAAAGCTATGATATTAACTTCTATTATCACTACAAAATGATATCGCCACTACATTTAAAAATAATTGATCACATAATTATAATACATCTATACTCTATCTTTTACCATGAAACCAATATACATCAAGCTGCAAAATGTTGAGCATTAGACTAATTTACAAATTGTCTTCTCTTATTTTTCCACGCAACGTTAATAATTTGAAACAATGACTCGATTCAGTCATTTCTAATTCAGACTCCCAAATGGAATCAATTACTCTATCAATACTAATCGATACCGATTCGATTGTGTAATATTTACAAACACTACGCGGCGATACTCTAGCATCTAAGCTTTTACGTCTACAAATTCAGTTTTATCTCATACAATTCTAAAGACGAAATTCGACAGGCGTTTCAAATTATTAGCAAGTGCGAGTGGACAAATAAGTAGCAATCCCTCTATTTATCCTCTTCCAGAAGAACCAGATCGTCAGCAACGACGTCAGAGACGTGTAAGTAGATGATCCAGTACATGAGATTGAAGCAGACAAAGCAGACGGGAAACACTATGCGCGAATACTTGTCGATGTCCGACGGTGTCATGCCGAGGAGCTTGCTGATGTCCTGAAAGGTTATAATTGACAACTAAGACATTAGAAAACGATCTAAGGAGTCACTAAGAACAATAAAAAATACAAACAGTAAAGTATATAAAGTAAAAGCTCTTGACACGTTTTGTCTTTATCATGCACATTATAAATTGCTTATGTTTGATAGAAACAAAACGGTTTACACCATTATTAGTTATGATTTAAAGCAGAAAACTCGCAAGGAAAAACACATCTATACACGAATTGTAAGTAATGCAGCGAATTCATTTACACAGATATATAAATTCGCATTTGCAAACCAAGTCGCAAGGCAGCTTCTGTGTGATCTATAAAATATAATGTATTACCTTGCCCGGTGGTAACAGCTGTGGGTTAGGTACTGATTCGTCATCTGCATTTCTTCCGCCGTTTATAGTGTTTTCCAATATGCCGCCTTTTGAATGTACTTTAGGATCATGCACTTTGAATCTTACTTCCTAAAATTAAAGAATAATCATTATACTCGTATTACTACAGAATATATACTATCTTTCAAATTTTGTTGACTATTACGCGTTGTGTAGATTAAAAATAGAACAAGAATGCATAATAACATACTAAATATGTTTATTGTTCAAGAAGTGTATGTCCTCAAGAATTAGAAGATTTTATTAAGCAACACTTCGGTTTGTGTCTGCCCCAAAATGTTAATTTCATATAACATCTTAAATGCATTATCATGTGAAAACAATAAAAATACTTTTATAGAAAGAAATTTATATTGATATTATATAACCCACCGATGGTCGACCTGGTGGGCACCTCCCAAGTGTATTCATCTTTGATAAAGTGTGAGAATCAACTGGCGGACAATCCACTGGCATTTTCTTCTCCGATGCAATCTTTTGAATCGTCATAAACCTCTGCTTTCTCATCTGTATCCGTTTCGCCATGTAACCGACAGTGGCATATTCTGGAAAGACAGAAAAGCAATGTTGGTACATCTGATGATATCAGCTGCTAAAACATCGCCATTGCAATTAGAAAATAACAAATCGCTTTGCTTCCGCTAGTGGTTTTGGCGATAATTACCTAATAGACTGGCGAAGACCATTACGAAGCAAGTGCCCAAGTACACATCAATAGATTTCACGTACGATATCTTCGGTAGAGCAGCATTTGTAGAGGACATGAGTGTGGTCATCGTCAGAACAGTGGTCACACCTAACGCTACACGGGCGGGAGTCGCATTCCGATTCAACCAAAACGATACCCATGATATGATGACAATGAGACCAGATGGTATATAAATTTGGATCAAATAATATCCCATGGAACGCACGAATTGGATCTCACAAGCCAATCTTGAATAGTTTCCTGTAACAAATTTGGACGTATAATATAATGGAAGCCTTGATATAATCAAAGGACTCGTAACTTTAATGTTCATCAGTCCATTTCCAAAGTACAAAGCAAGGTCTAATTTTTTTTATTTGATAAGTATTCAAATACATGATAAATTACTTTACTGACACAAACTGTGTTTCTAGTGCAAAAATACAAAAGCAGGACGTGAACAGATCGTGGTTATGCCCAGTGTTTTATGTCAAGTATCGTTTCATATAATTTTCCTCCGATGCTGTAACCCATTAGTACCTGTCGTTAGTGAGATCTCCATAGCCCGTTGCCGATGGCCAAGCACCTTGAATTGCGGCAGGGACACCTCGCTGGACACGCCCACCGAATTGGGCCCCTCGTTCCATTTGTAGCGGATGTCCCGCATCGTGTAGCCGACTGTGCGCAGCGGATACATAAATGAATGACCCTTGTCCCATTTCAATGGGTTTTGGACCGTCTGTCGCACGGGTCAAAGCCGAGGAGTCGCGACCAGCTTCGCGCGTTATCATGCGTTTGTGTGCTCGTGCCGAGGCTTGCACACGGGCGGAGGGAGACGGGGTCGTTAGCGGAGCATGGATGGACTATGCAAAGGTAGCGAATGCGAACTAGTTACCTGTTGTCAACGTTACAACCGTCGCGCGCTGTCGGTGCCCGAGGACCCGGAATTGCGGCAGCTGCACCTCGTTACTCATCCCGACACTTGCCAACCCGTCCTTCCAATGATACCGTATGTCTCTCATAGTGTAACCGACTCCGGAGACATGCCAAACACACAAAACGCTATCACTTACGCTGCGTAGCATCGCGTTTCCCACTCGAAGACGACCGGGAGTCGCGTATTAACGGGGCTGAGCGGACTCGAGTCGAGCCGATCTCGAGTCAGCTCGGCGAGGATGATAGAAAAATATAAATCGGTAAGATCTAGAACTAGGTGCTGATGACGTTTGTATATAAAAGAGCATGCAGGTGCTGTCGGGTGCTAAGTAGAGCGTGATGCGTGGGTAATGGGTGGGTTGCGTGGTTGCGAAGGTTTGCGCGGATGGTATAATGATGGTACTGGTTGCGTGCGGAACGTCTGCGGCCGGTCTCGGTGGTTGAACAGACATGGCTGCCGCCGTACCCCGCCTCCTTCGGCCCACGGTTTGTGGCGATGTCACAAAATCATTTTAATAGCTCGTGAGAACACAGGCTCAATGTCTGCCTTCTGCGGGTGCTGTATGCGAGAAGGCGACATCCAATATGATAACACGAGGGAGTCAAACGTGTCGACGTAATAACGCTTGTGCTCACAATATCCCTGAATAGCATCTGTGATATTAGAAAGTGGTCACAACACATTGGGAAGCCCAGTGAGAAATTGCACAGTGGAATACATAAGGTAATGTTTGCCATCAGTGAGCTGTCTATAATATAATTTTTCTATCATCGTCAATTCGACCATTTGATAACTTAGTTTCAACTAGGCAACGGTTAGTCATTTGTGTTAAGCGTGAGACTATTTTTTATTTCATTATGTGGATACAAATACACATCTAGTGTGTCTTTTCTCAATTTACAAGTGTTCCTTCTATAGATTATATATTAAAAGGTTGTGTTAGTAGATCGACTAGATTTGCCGAGATACTTACAACTCTCGATCTCGATGTGGCATAATTGACGATCCATTGGAAAGTACTGAAGGTTCATTGGACACGACGCAGTTATAGTTAATCTGTAAGGAAATATGGTGTGAAATCATTGTGTCGACCACCCACACACGCTAAATATCCCGATAAGCTAGTCTTCTGTATGCCTTTTATTAAACTATAATATATGACGTTAGAATGAATAGATTTATATGATGATAACATTTTAATTACATTTGACACTGCGCGCCACTATGAGTTCAGCTATTTTTTATTGTATGTTGGCAGCGTATTTTACTATTATATCGAGTATTCTGTGTTTGTCTATTGTTCTTAAATAACTAAAACTATAAATGTATGTTATATTGTATTTTTTTTATTTAGTGGTACTAACAAATTACTGCTAAAACAAAAAAAAAGAATTAATAATTCAACGTAAAAAAATGTTACAACTTGAAGCTGAAAATGCTAAAATTAATTGAATAATCCAACAGAATTATGCAGCAAACGTCAGATTAATTCGTGAACGTTAAATGAAATCCTAAGGAGCAGAAAACAAATAACAACTATATTTGTTTATATAACTGCATTATAGTGAAAACAATTAATTAAAGTTTTTGTAAAAAGTAAATCTTAATAAATGAAATGACTATGTATGCATTGGGAAAAGCCGTATCCATTTTCACAATTGCATAACACTAGCGGAGATAAATTTAATGCAAGCGGATTCTGTGGAGATGAGATATGGAAAAATTAACGAGGCTTGATGCTGCAGCGGAGAAACTACGGAATTTAAAATGGCTGTTTCAGCAATTTTTTTTTTATTATCCTTGTCAGGAAATTCATTTCTGCACGTCCGGTATAGAGCAGATATATTTTAGTGTTTAATTTAATAACTGCTTATTACAGACTTATAGTTGTTACAATTTTATATAATGTCAAGTACCTACCGAGGCGAGAATTATATCAAGTTTGAAAATATTTATTTTGTTCATTTAAAATTTTGATGCAGTTATCAAGTTTAATATCTTAATTATAAATGAAAATGCTTGATATAAAAATTATGGGTTTCATAAAATAACGAATTCATTTGCGGGAAATTGTATTAGTATGTATCATCGTTTGAACGATTCCTTTAATGATAAGGATGACATGAATTACTCCTTAGGTTAACCAACTCACAAAAATGTTTTTAGTTTATAAGACATGTTTAAAAAAGTCGGACTGAGTTTCTTGGGTCTTATTCTCGGTCATGTTGTTCTTTGGAACACTCTGTATAATCACGACAGACAGACATACAAATATCTTTTGACGAATCTAAATATCTTTTGACGAATCTAAATAATTTTTGAAACTGAAAAGAAACTATATTTTATTTTTTTATTTATTTAATAAAATGACGTTATTAAATTCCTTTTTTATTTTAAAATGTCAGTATTTTCAATCGAATGTGACAGGCCGTGAATGTAATTTGGGCAATAACGAAGTGCATATTCCGTACTACGTTCACAAACAATTTTTTCTGAAGTATTTTTTGATGTAAAAAATGAACAGAGTCTTATTGAGTATGAGGAACAGTGTGTACAGATTTAAATAAAACGCTTTAACTTTAAGCAAAGCATCCGAAACGTCGGGCCGAAGTTAAAAAACATTTTAAAATAAGTTTTACGAATATATCGCGTTTTAAACCGTTAAAATGTTTTATTTAAATATGTACTACTCACGTAAATTATAGACAGTATTTAGCATGTACAGATATCACATTAATTTTGAAAGAATGCGGCTAGGAAGTTTCTCTGAATATTTGCAAAATTTCATTTATGCCAGAGTAGTTAATGTACAATAATAAGAAACATCTTACTTTGGTAACACTTGAATGAGCCACAATTATTGATAACTGTTTAGTGAGTTATGTCGTTACTTTGTCTTAGACAAATAAAGATAAATATAGATTATGCACGGAAATTTTTCTTCTTCGAATTTGATCGAAATTGATTTTTGTTTTTGAAAATTTATTTACACTGTTTAATTTATTGTGATAAGTTTAATCCATACAATAATATTAATACTTTATACACTCAGCAGTTCGTGGCACAAGTAAACAGCCCTTCTTGCCGTACGCATTATAATTTGTATTGTTTGACTTGTAAGTAAAATTTAACTGTATAGTTTAGAAAGTTAGGTTTTGTCTTAAATAAAATGTATTATTAAAAGTAAATTTCAAGCTATATTTTAAATATTCCTTGATATATAATTATTAATTAAGTTTTTTTGTAATTGTAGCTTAGTTTTGTAGCACTTTAAAAAAGCCCTTTGAATAAAGTTTATAAATTGTTGTTAGTTGCAGATTAAAATTTCAATCGTATTGTTTTTATTACCTTATACTTCGTGTTATTGATCCGGAATAGTGTATCCTTATAAATTCGTTACTAGTTGTTGCTATGTGAAAATAAGATTGCTTTTCATTTACAAAGAACGTGTCGGGAACCCATATATTCTTAATGAATTCCGATCCTACAGACAACGTCTCAACACCCTGCCTCTTCTTATACGCCAGCCGTGGATCCGTCCAGAATTGTCTAAAGTAGAAATCCAGGGTGAAGTCCTGAAAGAGTTAAACATTTAAAAACAAATCCCCATTTCCACCGAAATAGAATACAATTTACATTGTTACAAACATCTAACATTTGTCATGCTGATATTGTGAGTGGGTGCTATCAATAAAGCTGAAACAACAATTATCTTCGACCTGTATTTATGAACTACACTGATTATCAACCCCTGAAATGTCATAGATTCAAAATTAAATGTAATGAGTATGTTTCGCGAAAATATATCTCTAGCTATGAAAGGTACTGCGTGGTTCATAACTACGGGTAATCAAACATTTATTTGTGCACGTGAGAGGAAGGTATGCAAGGTGTACTGACAAGTGAGATCTACAAATGAAGATGCTTATTGTCGATATTTGACGGTGGGCGTTCGCAAAATGGCACCCACGGTACGGCTCAATTAAGCTGTTCCGATTAAATTACAAGCCTTGCAAAGTATTTTTTATGCTTTATCCATAGTCACGTTCGATGTAACCTTATAGTTTGATTTGGTTTCCACTTCAGTATTGGAATTAATTTCCATCGGCAGCTTGCTACATAAACATAAAGGTAAGCGTACGAACTAGTTCTATACACGTACACCGGTGTAACAGGAGCGTGAGTATTCGCTGGTGGAGAATTGTCCAGAATGGTACCACAGATACAAACAACGAACTACAATATGACAGACAGAGATACAGTCGTCGCATGTCCACCCTACTTTGTGTTCATAAACGAATCTAACGCATTCCTCGCTTAACCGTAGAGTTTGTCTAGACGTACAGCTGGCAAATAAAAATTTAATACTTTTTTTACCAAAAGCATAAAATAATTAAAATAAACAGCTTGACTATTCTGTATATCTATATAATGTTGTATTGACTGATATTATATATTATACAGCCACTAATTATTTACAATAAAAATGTGTTATATTGTATTTATAAATATTATTTAATAAGTACTTCTATTTATTCCTATTAACAAGTTGATGAGATATCTATGCTTTGCCTGGTATTAAAAAAATCCTTGGGAATTGAACTCAGGACCTCTCTTGCTGCCCGTTTAACCAGAGATACAAGCTTGATTTATTACTGGGAATAATCGGAAATTTATGAAATTAAATGAGGGTTATCTAACGAAATAAATGACTTTATTATAATTCATTTTTTATCATGGAGAATGACAGAAAGAACAGAGAAGCAAGGGGTTCACTCGATAAAAGGTAAAATACCCCAGCAATCTAACATCTCAACAAGGTGCGCTTTGGCTCAATTTTGGTTTTGCATATTTGGAATTTCACAGACTGAAATCGAAACGCTATTAAGCTTCGCGGCTTTTTCATCCGAGGATCGTGACCGGGACGGAATTCTCGATATTTCTATCACCCATTTGGTATCCAGATTTCCCAGCGCAGTGTAACGTGCTTCAGAAAAATAAATTGTTAGAAACATTTTACACTCAATGGGTATCGAATCTACAACCTGTTTATTATAAGCCATACATTCATTACAAGATTTTAAATTATCAACTATTTGTTATAGTGTTAGAGATATATAAACCAACTGGTACAAATTATTGTCTCAAGATTACGCGAGAAGTACACATTGAAATAAAACACTTTTAACGGCTTAAAAATGTTCGTTCGTTATTTTTTACAACCATAGTTGTTGCAATGCCTTCAAAATATAACAATTAAAATAAAAATATATTTCTCGTTGTAAACCCTTAAAAGTGTAATCAATGGCGGTACTAGTTGTATGAAGCAGGATATTGGTTAGACACTTCCCCATAGACTAATGAACTAACGGTTAACGAGAAATGCGTCGATCAAATTACGTTTAGACACCCAATATTTATTCATCCATGAACACGTACGGAAATCAAATAGCACATAGTGCAAACAAGATATTTGCACATCCTGGTTCAGGTATGGAGATTGGCTAATAGATTTCGTCGGATTTACGAAACACACAGTTGCTTTTCTTATCCTTAAAAACACTTTTAAACATTGGGCCACTTAAGTCGTACATTTCACGTTTTAAACCTTCAAAAATGTTTCTTATTTTGTCAAAAACGATTGTTGGTATACCGTTTCGAAATATCTATTGAAATCGCCATGATGTTAAACAGGTTCTTTTGTTCAAAAAATAAGCACTAAATAGATGGAAAAAGATTTTAGTGAAACAAAGGTTTTATTATTTTCTACAAGTGGGGTAAATTACTCTCATGTTTAAGAACTCTATACTATTTACTTTCGTTACTACATTTTTGGCTGCTCAAAGCATCCGAAACGTCGGCCGTAGATATATTTCCCGTTTAAAACCGTTAAAAAGCTTTATATAATTTCAAACGTTATCTCAATGTGGATCATGCACATATATTTATATATTTATTTCGTCTATTTATTTACGCAAATAATTCCCCGGAAATCGAATCCAGAACCTTAGCGTAGTAAAGGTCAAAGCTGTACTTATATATAAATATTATTACTTTTTCATTATGGCGATATGTTCTGTTTGATTGAAAACATTTGTTATTATTACTTTACTAGTATGACGTATTATTCTAAAATGTCTGTTTGTCGACTCTCCCTAGGAGCCGAAACAAATTGTGGCATCTAGAGCTCTCAAAATAGAGCTTCGTAGATCTTCGTAGCACGCTACGATCGTAGCAGATTGCGTAGACTTACGCAGTATTACGTCACACGTATGGACTGATTACCACGAACGATGTTTATAGACTGTCCATAATATATACAGACTCAAATCCGCATGGAATAATATCCTTGTAACGAATGTTGATTTTAATAAGTCCTGAGGACGGAAAGTTGTTTGCAAACTACTCCGGAATTACCTGAGAGAATAAACAATTTTAACCGTTGCCTATATATATTTACTTTACCATATTTGCTAACGTATGCCAATATGAAAATGTACAAATTTCACAAACATATTTTATTACATTACTCGTATGTACTGTTTGTATTTTTCAGTTTGAATCTAACTTTGAGATACTAAATTTATTTTACTTGTTGAAAATAACCTAAATAACGGCTTCGTTACCGTTGTGATCATAAAGGGAAATCAATAGTTATATTTTGTTTCATAAAATGACCGAATTAATCGCTTGTTAGATTAATTGAAATATTTGAGAGCGCATTGTAATTAAATGGAAAACAATTTTGTATACAATAAACTGTACGTTATTCCTATAAACAAATACAACGGCCCAATAAATGAACTAGTAGAAAGCAATATATGCTAATGGAAACGTAATAAACTTTCCATTAGAATATATTGACAATTAAATTTTTCAAGTACAATTCATAATAGCATTAGATATGACGTCACCATATATACAATTAATTTTTACTTCTTGAATGTTCAATGTTAAAAAAGACTGCGTACATAAAATATTCACGTCATAATGCTTTTATTTGCAGCATGTGAGATGCTCCTGATTTGTCATATACATAACTGATTATACTCCTGATTCGTTGTACAAAAACTTGGCTTTGCTTACTATTATATTACTCCTTTTACATAAATGCAATCTATCTCATATTATTAATGTGTCGTCCCCTATATATATATTTTTCTACCTTATAAAAAAACTTCAAATATTTATTTAAAAATCAATGCAATATTGTCTATAGTTTACGCGAGTAGTACACATTTAAATAAAACACTTTAACGGTTTAAAACGCGATATATTAGTTAAACTTATTTGAAAATGGCCGTGGTTACGGCTGCTGCAAAACATCCGAAACGTCGGGCCGAAGTTAAAAATCATTTCCAAATAAGTTTAACTAATATATCGCGTTTTAAACCGCTAAAGTGTTTTATTTAAAAATCAATGCAATATGTTTTATGGGTATATTTTCATTGCACGTTTTGTGTATTTGATTATATCGCAAAATCAATAGCAATACTTTCAGTAAATTAATAATTTCATAATTACAAAATAATTTTTACGCCATTATTACAGCATTAAATGCTTCTTAAGAAGAAGAAAAAGTGAAAATGACGGGCCCGACCAATCAGGAGCATATCCTATAAAACGAAGCGAAACGGCCTTGTATCGCAGATAAGAAAGCAATAGGGTGGACGATGGGCGCTCTGTTAGACAAAACGTAGACATGCTCGCAGCCTCGTAACTAGGGCTGCTCGGTCGTTCGGCGTGCGCCGAAGCGGCCGAGTCAAGCGTGAGCTGACAGGGACGAGTACCATGAGCACTTCGGAGACGGAGCTGATAGACAGCACATACATGGTGACGCCCACCTCCACTGGCGGACCTGCAATCAAGCCCAACTGGATTAACGCCCGCGCCACGCCGTGAAAACCAAACCAAAGGTCTGACAGCTATTAGGACATGTGCGTGGTTCTGTGACCCGTTCGTAATCGAACCGTGGAGCCGGATGCTACGATGAACCGTAATGCTGGTGATTTACTAATGCGTTGTGTTAATTATGCTTTATAAGGTACCATTTTCACTTCAGAGAGAGAGCTGATGGATAGGACGTACATGGTAACGCCCACTTCCACGGGTGGTCCTGAAAACGATATATTTTTATACTGTTGTGTCTATTCGTTACGACCTACCTCACGACTACCTATAAGTAGGGGCGAGTTTCTATATCGCCGTGCATCCTTATAATCGATAAAAGATTTATTATCGATATCTATCGCAAATTGCTACAGTTGCTAATACTCCTCGTTCGCTGTACACCCATGATTTTAATGAGTGTACTGTGCAATTACTTTTGTACTTTACGCTAGTAGTACACATATAAATAAAGCATAATTTTAAATGTCGTTGAACACGGCTACTGTGAGCATCGTTATTCGTGCTCCTATTTTCCCGCGCTCCCTTTTAATAGTGTTTAATTACTGTTTTATTTGATAATATATAAGTTAACTATTGCAGCTTCTCGAAATCTTGAAAAATATTTTTTTTGCTCTGATTTTATTCCTCTGAGGGACTGTGCCATCTGCAATCGAGTTTCCTAACTATTAGACAAACGAGGATGTCTATTAGCGTCGTTACATCCTTAAGAATAAAACACTACAACATTTTTAATTTATTTGTTGTAGTTACTTAAGTGGCACAATAACAGGTTGAAACAAAATATCACTCAACACTCGCATGAAAGCAACCGTTTTTTAAATAAGCCTCAACTCCTTTTAAAAGGGAATTCTTCTATCGTAAAGTAATTCAAAATAACAAGATTTCAGATATACATTTTTATCTTAGAGTGCGGTATTATCTTTTGTTGTAAGTAAAAGGGTAAGCTTAAGTAGAAAAAGTTCTGATGCGTGAAATTTGAAGGTAACTCGGCTTCGATTTATTATACGAACGTTATATGTTAAGTGTTTAGACGTTTATGGATTTCATCACTTATCAGCTTTTATATCAAGTCCCAGTGTTGGGACTCTAAAGAACGAATAAAGAAGTGCCTTCATCTACCACGCTACTCAAATATGGTTAGATGAAAACCGTTGTCAACTTTCCGATTCTGTGACAAGTTGGATTCCTCTTTTATTAGATAGCACTACACATTAATATTTATTTTGAAACTACTGAGAATCGAAATCCCGACTACACAAAAGGAATTCGAGTGCACAACCTACTAACAGGATGTCAATACATGGAATTATAATAACGTAAAATTTAAACTGTTACGCTTATTACCACACCTATGCATGTCTTATTATATGATATAAAAGGTAAAATATATTTATAGAGGCAATAATATTGCTGCATGTCTATTTAAAAATTTTAGGATAGATGTATTTTTCTTAGATTGTATTAAAATTTAAAATCATATTATTATAGGTAATACATGTGATTAAAATTAATTGTACGAATCGAAACAGTTTTGTTCGATTTTAGAAAATCCCACTGTATGGTTATAAAACAACGTGGAATTGTTTAAGACTTATTTTTTTCTTATGTTATGCACACGATGGTATTGTATATATAAATTCAAATTTAATTAACTTGAAAAAAAAAAGAAAATAACACGGACGGGCCTTAAACCGGCATTCACATCGCGAGAGGTGCATGCATCAATGAATTAAAGAAATTTGATAATGGACACGGTAGCTCAATTCTCAATCAAAAAGGCGTTGTGAATACCGGTTCAAGTCCCGTCCGCATCGTATATGTATTTCATTCTCAATAGATCTTCAATTAATTGTGAAAATATCTAGAATAAGACTTTAAAATGGCTTTTACAATAGTGTAGCAGGTGGAAAAGCCCGTTGTCCGTGCTACAATAAATAAAAAACCTTTCCTGCTTCGAGCGACTAGCAATATCACCTCAGTTAAAGCAGCTTTAGACGGGTCAGGTTACAATGAAACAAAAGTAAAATGGCAGCTGTTCCACGTTTTGCGATTGGTTGAAATATTGGAACTTCGATGCTTTTTAATTCTTCTAGTATTTTACGCGGGTAGTGGACATTTAATCTAAATATATATATTGTATTGAGATGTATCTAGTTCTCAGTTGTTGTGCGTTCACAGCTCAGGACATTTGCCATATAGAGTAAAGTATATTAAAACATAACTTCAGATCTTACAAAGATTTCTATCGAATGTGCGGAAAACCTGTTACCCCGAAGTGCATCATGAAGAATATATCTATCCATAAATTGATAATATTTATTTAAAAGCAAATATTTGATCCGATTTTATTCCTGTCCTTTCTTAAATATTATTTTTTTCCGTGGTTCAAACTCAGTACCCCAGTGTTAGGTAATTTATGGAACTATTAGGCCACAGACAAAGGCACAATGTTGTATATCAAAATAATAACATTTAATCAATGTTAAAGTCAAAATCAAAAATATTTTATTCACGTGGGTAACTAGGTACATTTATGAACTCCAATTCTTTCAATAATAGAAACCCACAATTTACAAGTTATATAAGTTGCCGTGAAAATATAACTGTGTTTTATGTGCACACATTTTATCGGGGAAATGGCGCCGCTCGACTGCAATAATACGTCAAGTGAGGGAACAATTAATTTTATTGTTACTGCAAGTAAATTGATTCGCGCGATTCTATAAATGTAATTAGAAAGTGGAATTTATTGGCGCGGTCTTGGTGTAGGCGAGACTTCAAGTTATTTACTATTTCGTAAATAAGTTTTACAGTTGAATGTAAAGAAAAATAAAAGAGAAGATTGTAGAATAGTATACGAAAAAGTTTCTCCTTTATATCAACACCAAAAAACCGGTTTAAAACAAGCTAATAGAATTTAATTATAAACCGGCTAAGTCTCTTGATTGCAACATTGACGATAGAAAGTTCATAGCGTAACCTAGGTAAAAATATATTTTGTTTTTCAGTGGCAACTGATACACAATTTGTAAAAAGTGGTGCAGATAGACCTGATGATCTACAGATAGACATAAAGACGATGAAAGAAGTCTAAAAATATCTTTTTTCCCGTTTGGAACAATTTTGTTAGTTAAAAATACGATAAATAATACAACCAATGTTTAACAAATTAATTAAAGACGTATATCGTCTTTAATTTATTTGTTAAACATTGGTTATACAAGCGTATACGCTTGTTTGATCAAACTAGTAGAACTCCACTTCTGAAATGACAAGTGAAATAAGTAAGATTATCTCTTACTTTAATATATAAGAATCATTATTTATATATATAATATTATTTATTATTAAAACCTTTGCAAACAATTAAAATAAATTGTTTGAATTTTCAAACTGAACCGTGCGATTCGAACGGCCGTAAGGTAAAAACGAAAAATACATCGTTGTTCACTTTTTGTTGGATTTGTTCAGTCAAACGAAACGTTATGACGACAGATATAGCCAAAAATGGACGTTTAAAACGCCGATAGTACGTGAGACTTTAGATGGTCTAGTTTGAGTTTGACAGTTAACGAAAAAGTGGAAATAAACTTTTCGTTCTCTATGGATGTGTTAAAAAATATTGCTTTAGGAATTATTCGTAAAGACAATTTTTCTTACAATTTGATTTATTCCATTGTTTTTATTCACTATCAAACTTGTACCGTAAGTAACATAGGGTACTGGTGCTGGGAGATTTGGAGTAATACAAAAATGATGCAGGGCTACTTAAAAACAACCTTGCTGGTGATGGCTTTTGTGGAGTAGGTCTACCAGCTCAACCGCAGAAGAAGTCGAATAGTAATAAGACTTATAGTAGTAGAATTAAAAATATGGTTGTTTATTCCATTTTCTTCTTTATTTTTTTTCTGTGTTTATAACCTCTAAGGCTTATAAAAAGTTATATATTTCAAAAATATGTTTAAGTAAAAATATATCGACGATTCTGATTGCCTAAAGGAAAAACTCATGTCTTTTTTATGTTTTGTTTCGTAATTTTACGTACTCAAAATCAAGAATTTGAAATAAAAAAATAGTATAAACTTATTTTTGGTCTTTGGTAAATATAAAAAAGGTATTTTTTTATTTCTACTTTCTACGAGTATTATCAACCTTTAAATCACTTTTTCCCAAAGTCAAACTATTACCAAACCTTGCGACTTACCTCCATAATTTGGCCTTACTCTTTTGTCATAACTTATACTAAAAGAGTCTAAAATAGCTGATATATTAACATCTCCAAACATGCCACCACCTCCAGATCCCCTGTAAAAAAAAAACAAATATTAAATATTAAACACACTTCAAAAATAGTTTTGTAAGAAGAGACCAAGAGTCACAGGTTTGAATCTCGCCTGCATCAGCGATTTAATGGGTGTGTTCGCGCTGTGTCTTATATCTACGACAGACAGTTCACGTGATGAGAGATGAAATACCCCAGCCATATAACATCTAAGCAAGATGCGCGGTTGACTTATTTTGGCTTTGGATATTCGGAAATCCACAGACTGAAACCGAAACGCGATTAAACTACACGGCTTTTGTATCTGTGGACGGATCTGTGGTAGTTCATGACCCGGACAGAGTTTTGATATTCCACCATTTTTTTCAGAAGAAGTCCAACATGTTTCAGAATAAAAAAATAAGAAAAAAAATATAAAATGAAAAATTTGAAACATGTTGAATCGGGTGGGGATCATTTTGTGCTCCTTTTATTTCACCACCTCTTAAGCTTAATAATTTAACTCATTGAGTTCTAGGGTTCGAACTCTGGATGAACCATAAATTAATTCAGTTGAGTAGACACAAGTAGAGAGGTATACAGACGTTCGATCATCGACTTGCCCGTAATTACAACCGATTATTGAAACAGATTTAGAAATTTGTTTTCGGAATTGTTTGAACTATGAAACTATCTTCTTTCTTTCTTGTATAGTAATTATTTTTTATAGAAAAAATGCGAAAGTAACTATAAAAGTAAAATAAGCATATAAAAGTACACTATACAATGGATATCCTTATTATGAATACCTTAATAAGCTGTTTGCAGTGAAACACTGTATTTAAACATGTGTCTTATTAAATTTATAAAATAAATACATATAGTATAATATAAAATAAATAAATACATATACATAACGGCCGAAATAATTGAAAAATTAACCCAAAGTTACTATTCCACATGGACGAAGTCGCGGGCACAGCTAGTAGTGTATAGTTCTCCCAGCCGTTCTTAATTCAAAACCTGCTTACGGTTTCCGATATGAGAATGTTCATATAAAAACTATTATCATTATTTTTAATTTATGGTATTTATCGGTAGCTTCAGCTGAAGTTGAACGTGAAAGGCATGGACTTGAATTAAGTGGGCTTGAGCAGGTTCTTTAGGTAAGTGTGTTCCAAATTATTATAACTCTATGTTAAAAGGCCTAAACCAACAAAGATATGATTGGTTTAATCTATTTAGTATAGATTAAATCAATCTTATGGTTTATTACAAAGCTGAAAAGTTTATTTGTTTTTTGTTAAGACACGCTAATTTTAGAAACTATTAGTTCGAATTGAAACATTATTTTTGTATTAGACAGATAATTTATCGTGGAAGGCTTTAGGCTATATAACATCACACTGCGACCAAGGAGCAAACAAGAACGATAAAGAGTGGTAACTGTGGAATTTCTGGAAAAAAAAACCTTTGAGGGCTTCAGTTGCATCCACTGCGAAAACGGTACAAGAAATCAAAGTAATATAAAAATATATTAGAGGTGGAACGACTGTTTTAATTTAGGGGTATGAAAATAGATAGCAATCGATTCTCAGACCTACTAAATATGTATATAACATTTCATAAAAATCGTTGGAACCGTTACGGAGTACTGTGGTAACTAACGCTGTACCACAAGAAGTTTGTATTATATTTAAACTAGTTTACCCAAAAAACTCATTCGAAGGAATGTTTTGACTGAAAACATAAGATGTCTTTAACAAAATCGGTCAATCCCTCTCGGAAATACTTTCTTTTTAATAATAGAGGAGAACAGACAAGCATGGGGCTCACCTAAATAAGATGCGCGGTCGACCTATTTTGGATATTCGGAAGTCCACAGACTGAAACCGAAACGTGATTAAACTTCACGGTGTTCTCATTTGTGGACGATATTGCTACCACCCAATTAATATTCAGATTTCTTGATGAAGTCCAGCATGTTTCAGAAAATTTATAAATTGATTAGAAAAATGTTGATCAGCCGTACATTGCCACCATTACACCAACGTGCTCGTAAAAAAAATACTTTTACTCAATTTTCAAATACTGTGAACGAAACATCTTCGCACACAAAATGTGTTAGGCGACCTTAAAACCCGTCACGTACGGCGTTGGTATGAGACCGCAGACTCAATTATGAAAAGCTGAAACTGTCAGTCTATATTGGTATACGAATTACATAATTAACCAAGTTTTCGGAGTAGAGTGGCAATTTTGACTCGTTCGTCAATAGAACTGATGAATAACTACTAGAAACTTACCGGCTTACTTCAATATTGAAGTTTGAAATTTTCGCGCTTGCATTGATTCTATCTATTTGAATCAATCGCGTTGAGTTCAAGAAATGTTCATTTCGTCTACTTATAACACGTTATTTTAATGTTTAATATTTTGTGCTTTTTAGGAACAGCCGCCGTTCATTAAAAATACTTGACAACCAAGTAGGGGACAACGATTTAAATTTAATAATATAAAACGAAAAATATATCTCTTAAATTATTGAACTTGGAAGGCGTTTGTAAAATCTAAGTTATAAGTAGTTAATATATTTCGTGTTTTAAACTGCTAAAAGTATTTTATGTACTTGTTCTACGTGTAAAATGGACAAATATATTTTTTATGCAGTACTTGTGTTAAATATTCCCAAATACTCTAAAACACTTAAAGGGTTGCTTGTTGGTAATACCTGTTCTATACATTTATATCCAGACCAAACGTGTATTATTACAAAAATAAAAGAGAGTAGGCTAAACGCTTTAGGTGCGCAAGAGGTCCTGTCCAAAAGTCTCTGCCAAAGTAGAAATGTGAGAAAAAAGCCAAGAAAGTCAAACGGACACAGAAATGTGTCTCCCCATTGAGGTTTTTATATTTTATAATAAAACTAACATTCTTATGAATATAATGTTATGCAAATTTTCTTTATGTTTCTGAAATATATTTAATAACAATTTATTAAAGATCAATAAAGCTCAGTTTTCCGCCTTGTAACATACTTATTTCCGGGCATACAAACACTGGAATGTTGGGATAACATTTTATTACTCAAAGATGAAAGTAATTTTAGAAGCAACACAATAAAGGTCGCTTTTATAATGCCATCTGTTAGTGGAGTTTAAAAAGTAGGGCTTTTTTATTAACTTTCTCCACTAACTTTTTCCGTGAGTTCAAGTTGTCAATCTTGTCTAGTTATTTGTATAGACTTTTAAAAAATCCCTACACTTATTTTTTCTTTGCAGCCGTTGGGTGTCCACAGCTGGACGTATTATTGCTTAAAATAACATAAAATGTAGTTGAAAGATTCACTAATTATGTTCCCGAAATTTTGCTAAAGTTTTTAAAATCACATTTGGCTGTCTTAGAGCTGATCTGGTCAAAAGTAGTTCTTTAGCGTAAACCGAAGCCAAGTATGTCACTAGCTGTGCTGCGTTTAGCTTAACTAAGGTGCTAACGTGTTTTTAGTTGACATAATTACTATCAGCACTAATTTCTATACTAATATGTAAAGCTGAGGAGTTTATTTGTTTTTTTGATCGTGATTTATTCAGGAACCACAGGTGCAAATTGTATTTATGTTGGTTGGGGCGTTTATAAAACATTGCGTTGCGACATTTAGAAGCGAAGAAACAGCGGGAAATGTGGAAAAAAGGGGGGGGAAATTATTAACCCTTGTGAGTTTCCATTGCGTACGCTACAAAACGGTTCAAGATACCCAATAAATGTAATCAAGGATGATTCCTCTATAAATGATTTAACAAAAGTCCTATAATATGTCTATATTTTAAGATTAACTTGCCTGAACGACGGGACACGGACATCGTGAACAGCTATAAATTATAAAGCTGTAGAGGAGGTTTGCAAAAACAAATTTTAATTCCTAAAATAAGTATTCTAAGACCGCCGACGCTGACGAAGTTGCTGACACAGCTACTATCGAATAAAAGCAAACCTGAACGGAATAGCTTCGAACAATGACATAGTCGTATCCATAGTAAATAGCGTTATAATAATAGTGTAAATGCAGTACGCATTACACTACGAGTACTACAGTACGACGAAATAAAATAAAAGCATATTTCCAATAACAATTATAAATATAAATTCATACTGCAAATATTCCAAAGTGAATTAAAAATATTCCAACACTACTAAAAATGTTTGCCTTTCCATTGAAAAGCGAACACGACACCTGAAAATTAATTTCAATCAGCGATTTTACGCGTTTCAGTTGTTATTATAAATGGATACATTGATTAACCGCGTTGTTAAAATATTTCAATTTAATTGGTTCTATCTATTAAATTGAAAAACATTGATACTAAAATATATTTAAAACCACAGTTTGAGAGTTGCTTTGCCGATGTAAAAATATGATTATTATTGAGCAATACGTTTATACCAAATCAATTCAAAAGTAGTACAGTCTACTTAATTTAGAATTTTTCATTCTAAATTAAGTAGACTGTAGAATAAACGAGAAGAAGTGGCAAGAAACTCGCCGCCACACCTTATATCGTCAAGTTTTTGTTTTGAAGTTCCTTAACTTAATCTTTACAACGTTTTCCTCGTTAGAGCCGATCTATCACTATAAGTAACTAGGTATCGGCCTTTTAATAATGTTTTCATGGCCTATATTTTTGAACAACCAAACACTTAACAAATCGGTAAGTAATAAATTTCAGTAGGCTACAATTAAGTGTTCAACTAATTCAAAGGAAGTTAAAATATAGAGTTGATTTAAAGTTAACCAGAGAAGTTGTGCTGCATTTAATTCGCTTCTTATTAAAAATCAACGAACTTTAATTAAGGAAAGTTTCAACGCTAAAACGGAGTAACATGCAAGAAATATTCGACATTGAAAGTTGCATTGGCAATTAGTTTCAGTAAGTTAGCCTAGAATTATCTAAATTGGATACCTGAATGCTACCTAACATTAATTTTTAACTCTCAAATGTTGTATCACTGCCAGCATTTCCCACGACTGGGACTTGGGTCTGAACGGATTGTCAATTCTGTAATCTACAGTGTTAAGATCAAGAGAACTCCGTTCACGAGGACAAAGCTGTCAAGTCTTTCAGTGTTCGGTTTAGTTTAAGAATTTCTGAACATCCAAATCTAGAATAAGTTGACATCGAATCCTGTTTAAATGTTATATAGTTGAAGTATTTCACTTAGCATCAAATGAATTCTATGTTTCTCTCATGTCATGCGTGTATCCTCCACCTTCTCTATCATAAAAAATAAGGCGAACACATGTTTCTTATAGGCAAGTCGTAGGTCGAACTTCCGTGCCCTCCCCAACCGCATTGTTTATTTCGAAGCACTTCAGATTACTTGCTTTTAATATTATATCGCGTTTTAGGTTATTGTTAATACGTACTTCTTTATTTAGATACAAACATTTAGTCATCGTTTATAATGGACGCGAAAAATACAATTAATTATTATTTAACTCAATGTAGTTTGCTATTTGAAACATTTTACTATTTCCATAACGTTAAACTAAAGAGGCCAATTCACAAGACAAATGAATGGGTTTTAAAATAAATTGTAATACCTAATTGACCCATTTCCTACGAGCAATCAGCAATTTAAACATTCAGTAGTGCAAAAAATCCAATTTACGACTCTTGCTCTTTTAAACCTACGTACATAGCTCAATGGTTAAACGTCGAGAATTAACAGGATAAGTCGTGGGTTCGGAACATTAAAGACGAAGTTTCTTATTTTTTCGAAAATGTGTCTTAAGCCATGTATTGACTCATAGTCATGTAAATAGAAACTTGTGCTATTGAAATAGAATCCTAATTCTATTTAATTTTTATATAAAACGTATTTTTCGGCACTAAAAATTTTCCTTTAAAAAATAGTTTTAAAATTATTGTAAATTTATGATTAATTCAAACCTATAATATTGGTTTCCGTTAGGTGGAATGACGCAGAAGATACACTTATTTTCCTTTCTATGTAATTTTGATGTCACGGGTTCGTTATTGTAATGCAATGTATGTATCTATCAATAAAAAAATTAAGGATATTTTTGTTATAGTCAAATTCCAATTATAAAAAAACAGTAAAGCTGCATCCACCGTGAAAAAAAAACTATTAATAAAAATATATAAAAAATATTCTGTTGAAGTATTTTTTATATATTTAGAACGCGAAATACATTAGTTGAACATATTTACAAATGAATTTAACCAAGTCCCGATTTTTCAGATACTCTGCAGCAGCCTTGGTCACGGGGGACAACGACGATAAGTTTAACTAAAATTGTTCATATATTAAATCGTTGGTGTTTTATTTAAATTCGTACTTTAAAAATCGAAACTAACTTGACAAAATCGACTCGGACAGGACTTGAACCGGCATCGTCAGTGTTCCGTGCTGTTGCTCTACCAATCGAGCTACCGAGTCCTACCCGTCATCGACGAATTTTTTCAACTTATTGATACATGCACCTTTCGCGCAATTTTTATTTCAGCCTTAATACTTCGTACTGCTCGCGTGAACTACAGACAGTATTTACCTAAAAACTAGATTAATATAAACTTTGTTTAAATTAGTTGTAGTTTCGAGTTTTTAGTCTATTTTCCAACAGAAGTTGCGAATGCTAATATGAAGTATGAGCATGTAGATCAACACAGGTACCAACAAACAAAAAGTGACTAATATAATATTAAAGCTTTGGAAGCGTTCAGTTCTGTTTCGCCGGATGTAAGGCTACTATAAAATGGGAATCCTTTATTAGAACGCAACCGCATTTTGAGCGATCTAAAAATAGACGACACCAGCCCAGAACGAGACCGCGCATGGCATAACGAAGCCCAAATTTCTATATGTATAGGCTCGACGAGGGCGGGTTCACGAAATTTCACGAAAGCGCGATAAAGTCCCTCAACAAAGGAACAAGACGTACAGATCGTTACTTCGTTAAGGGGTTCGAAATGTGAAAATATTTCATAATATTATGTTTTCATTTATGTAATTCATATTAATTCAGTTTTTTCTACGTTTTTTATAACATCAATTTTTGCAAACAACCTCCTCAGCTTTATAAAACAATAGCTGTTAATCACGATGTCATCCGAGATTCGTCGTTCTTGCGAGAAAACACAGGCACATACTAGGAATATTTTTCGGTTATTGAACCGTTTTCGGCACGTAATTGAAATCCTTAAAGATAAATAATTTTCCCTGTTTTCTTCACTGTTTCTTAACTAGAACCTTCCTCGATAAATGCTCTAACCAATACAAAAATAATTTTACAATTCCACCAGTAGTCGCTGAGATAAGCGCGGCCAAACAAACTCTTCAGCTTTATAGTATTAGTATAGATTTAGTTGGGATAATCATAACCCACCAAACCTCATTGGACCAGTCTTCTATTAGTATCTCCATTAGATCCTATTATGCTCTCAAATTCAATATCTTTACGTAGTAAGTTACGTAGTAGTATTTGTTAATATGATTTTTATTTCCAGACAAGCATGGAGCAGACGAGAAATGCCCCAGCCCTATTAAATTAAGTTACCTATATCCGATTTGGACATTGGGAAATCCACACTGAAACGTTAATTGGAACGTACAAGGCTTGTCCATCTGTAGCGACGTTTATTACAGGAGTGTAGTAATCAACACACGCACCTGTAATCCTGTTAGGTGTACCGTAATGGGCAAGTGCAACCGCAGTGAACAGCAGATGTCCACAAATCCCAGACCGATTCCAAATATTCCCGTTAGTTTTGGAACATTCCGCATTTCTAGTCAAAGTGAACTTGTCAATCGCGTGTACGTTTATTGAGGTGTGAATTGCAGTTACATTAATATGATTACGTTGTGCGCGGTAGTTTCAATCCGGTTATAATCTTATTTAATAATGTTAGTATGGTATTGGATAGAAATTCGTATTTACTCGTTACTTATGCTTACTTAGTTGCTCAGTGGTTAAACGCATTGCTTAGTAGTAAACGGCTTTGAGATCTAATCCTATTGAAGCGGTACTTTCGAAAGACGGGGCACATAGATTTGTAAAACTATTTGCGTGGACATAAAATAGACGCATCATTGTTTTTTGAGCTGTTTGGCCGACGTAAGCGAGAAAAGGTTATCGACGTTTCCCCGTAAGAACTAATTCTTCGAGCAATCGAGAAGCTAACTTGTGACGATGATGCCGTCCGCTCGTGATGGCGAAACATCAAGAACCTTTTCTCGCTCACGTCGGCCGAACAGCCCGAAAAACAATTATATGCTGAACGATTGCCGTGAAAGCCTTTTTCCAGTATAGAAAACTAAAGTAATGTAAGCGTGTAAGGCGCATAGAGCGCTGTAAAGAATTAAAAGTAAAATGTATTGTTCTAGGTATGTTTAATGCCATTATGTTTTCTAACAAAACTAAAATATCAAAAAATATCAACTAACGTTCATACAAGTTACGCTATAGCAAAATTAAACCTCAACGTTCCAGCATTGCTATTTTGCTTCGCAATTTCATTGAATTTAATACTAAAAGAATATTTAAGAGTTCATATTGTAAATACAGCGGGAAAATCCTCAATTAATCTTCTCAAATATTAATCTTAGCTTACAGCAATGCTCAGAGGATAAAATAGAAATATAATTTATGCATTTAAGTTTTGTTTATTTTCCCGACGCTGAAGTGGTTTTTAAAAAAGTTTATTGAATTTAGTCCCTCTACTAAATATGTGTTTTATTATGATTCCATTAAAAATGCTTTAATAAAATACTGTCTGTTGTGTACGCAAGTTGTACACTTTTAAATAAAACACTTTAACAGTTTAAACGTACGTCTCACCGTGACCACGGTTCTTACAAAGCATCCAAAACTGGGCCGTAGTTTAAGTTATTCAAATAAGTTTAACTGATATATAAATAATATATATCGCGCTTAAACCGTTTTATTTAAATGCTTTAATAAATTAACGGGGTATTTTTTGTATATTTTCCAGACAAGTTAAAACAACGCTACT